ACTGTGTCAGTGGCTCCAGAAAAATGGAATGAACACGTTTCTTGGTGGATGTAGAGAATATTCCCTCATGCTTCATAGGTCAACTTTGTGATTGTTTTGAAAACAACACAACTCAAGATGGCTCACTTAACTCAGGCCTGATGTGTGCCTGATCCTAAAGGCATTTGAGCTGGGACCCTGGACTCGGACTCCCAGATCCCTCCATGGGGCTGCAACTAGAAGCTAAGTACACCACAAAACCAGAGACTATTAGCATCCGATTATGGAGTGCCACATCCTCCTCATGCAGATGGAGAGATGGCGGCCCAGAAAGAGGAAGAACCTTTCCGGTGGTTACCCAGGAAGCGGGGAGTGGCCGCCAGTCCTCCTCCAGAGCATCATCCACCCTTCCCCCCTCCTCCATCTACAGCTGGAACTATTCCCTTCAATTTCTCTCACAACTGGTTATACCATTTTTTTTTTTTCTGGATGTTTACCATATTCCAAGCACAGTGCTGAGAAAAGTGTCTTACAAACATTGTCTGATTTAATCATTATTCCTGTTTGACAAATCAGAACACTGAGGTTTACAGTCATTCTGCTTATTCGTGGAAGAGGAGGGACCTGAATAGTACGGGTGTAATCAGGCCTTCCGCCCTGTGCAACCTCATACTGTAAACCATCAGCCCTTCCAGGGAGACACCATGCTGTTCCCATTTTATAGATGGTGGCAGCAAGAGGCTAAGTGGCTTGCCCAGGTTCACGCAGCGGGTTGTTGATAGAGTTAGAACTGAAGGCTAGGTCTGACTCCAGGGCTCCTAAGCTGTGGCCTCCTTCACTGCTCTTCTGTCCCCCCATGGAACCTCTGGAAACCTTCCAAGAGTTCATTTGCATCACTTGGTCTGAAAGCACCCTTCAGAACTTAGTAGCATACATACATTCGGGGGTATGGAGGGGACGGGGTCCATTCTGTGGTGCACTGAGCATCCCCGTACAGCTTTGCGACCCTGCAACATTCTGTGCCAACCACACCGAGTGGCAGCCCCAGCCTAGACCCCCGGGGAAGTGACTCCCACGGATGGGGGATTGGAGTGTGCAGACAAGAAGGGGCCTCTCCGCTGGCACACAGTGAGAGCTAACTCTCCAAAGACTAGCGCCCAAACTCTCCAGAGCCCAACCTAGAACACAGGACCCAGATTGTTTTCTGCCATCACCTTTTCTCTCTCCAACACACGATGCTGGTTCCCTCCTATTCCAACTTGATCAGTCAAATGCTGGGACCTGCTTCAATGCCTTTTTGTTGTCTTGACCTCACTTTGTGAAACATGATGGCAGCGGCCTTATGGCTTTGTTTCACTTTGTGAATGATGAGGCAACCAGCCCTGATCACTCAGGATCCCGACGTCCCAGGAGGAGTGGCCTTTGTCAGTGGTTTTACCACCATGCTCCGAAGAAGCCTCAGGTTTCCTACAGCTACATCTGAGATTTTGAAAATAATAACATCTTTGCCACCAAAGAATAAAGATTCAGTCTGAGGAAGGAACATGTTAATCACTCCTTCAAAAATATATTTTATACATTGGCGTTTAGACAGCATTTAAAGAAAGCATTCTGCTGCTAAGAAAGAGAGCGAGTCTCATTTTCTAAAATGTCGTGGGTCATTGAGCTACAGGATACATCTGCTCAGGGGTAGAAAGTTATCATGGATCAAAGTCAAATATCCCAGCAAAGCAGAGGAAACCAAATCTTCACCTTGGGCTAACCAAGTACCTCGCTGAAAGGTGACCCTGCCTCCCCAGCATCCCCTCCTTGATTTGCTGGGACAACAGCAGGGTTTCCTCTCTCCCTGCCGGGCATGCATTGACCTGCCCCTTCTTCGAATCGGAGCCCGGGAATGGCCAGCTATCCCTTGGCAAGAGGGTCTGAACTTGCTGGTGGCTCTCCACTCCAAGGTCCTCAAGCTCTCGGAAGTGTAGAGCTGGGCAGGATTGAGCCATCCTTTGCAAGCTTGTGGATTTTACATGTGGGAGAGGTGGAGGCCCAATATCTCAGGAGGAGGAAGACATGGCACCTACTACTTCCTACTACTACTACTACTACTACTACTACTACTCAGACTGGCCTATAGGATTCTTTACATTTCCACTCCGGGTTTGAGAACCCAAAGACCTGGCTACATATTCTAGCCCTGGGACCTGGAGGCCAAGGGTGCTGGGCAGGGAGTGCTGTGAAGTCTTCTGGAAATGCAGCTATAGCTGATATTTCCTCCTCTGTGAGTACAAGAGATTAGGAAGGTCCGTTCATGCAGGAACAAACTTGAGAAAAGCAAACAGATGAAGCAGATATACACTCAGGCCTGTGTTCCTCTGTCTCCTAGAGCCTCCCCAGTGAGGGCAGGCCTGCGTGCTTACACACACGGAATCACATTCAGACTCAGTTCGGTTATAGTTCTTAGTAAAGTGGTTTAACTAGTCAGGTCAGATAGCCTGCTTGTCTGCCTCTCTCCAGCCAGACTTACCACCTCTCCTGCGTGTCTTTTTCTACTGTAGGTAAATAACCACAGGGTTCTGCCCACTGCAGCCCTGAGCCAGGCCTGGGCTCCCTGGCAGCTGGCCCAGCCATAGACCCCTCCCAGGGCTCATCTCCTCAGCACAGTCAAGGCCAGACTCCAAGATCCTCAAGATCTCGGAAGTGTAGAGCTGGGCAGGATTGAGCCATCCTTTGCCAGCTTGTCGACTTTACATGTGGGAGAGGTGGAGGCCCAATATCTCAGGAGGAGGAAAGACATGGCACCTCTATCTTCCAAAGAGGCACGCAGGATCTCTGCATCATGCTGGAAGCCTGTCTTAATTCAGAGACCACACAAATGGCGGCCCTTGGGCTGTACCGACCCCATAGGTGTGTTTTGTTTGGTCCATGCAGTGTGGGATGCCACACATTGTTTTGTAATTTAAATTTAAATTTTTATATGGGAAATGTTAGCCCCCCAAAGTTTAGATTTCTGACTTCTCTTGAAAACTTGCACATCTGGCAACCAAGATTGCCATTCCCATGTGGCAGGAGTCTGCCGAAGGTGAAGAGTCACTGTTCCTTTTAGGCTTAATTCGTTTCTCTTTCCAGTTGAGCACCTGTGGGCATTTGTATCTGCAACCTCTGTCTGAATTAAAATAATAAAAGAATATTGATAATTGTTGATGTAGAGTGAGTATCCCACTGCTGGTAGACACCATGCGAGGGACTTCCCATAAGTATGCTCTTTGCTTCTCACTAAAGCCCTGTGAGGTCCATTTATTATCATTCCCATTTTACAGATGGAAAGTAGAGACTCATGTGAGTTCAGAGATTTGTCCAAGGTCACACACGTAAGAAGGAGCAGAGCTAGAATTAGAAGTCAGATTTTCCCAACTCTAGACACTATGCTGATTCCAAGGTGTGGGTAGACTCTGTTCCTGGAGAGAACTTTCATGAAGGTAACCCTCAAGATTTCTCCAATCCTTTCCTATACATTTGGAGTTTTAGTCTCTGTTTCCAACAGCCAGAGGGATTTTGCTGCTTGCGTGTCTATGGGTACTCACGGAACGAGGAATGTAAAAGACCAGAGTGGACTTGACTTTAGTCTCCTTTCCAGACTCTTAACCCCACCCATTCTTCCTGACTTCTCCGCTCTGCTGCAGTGGCTCTCCCTCCCTTTCATGAGCCATGCGGGCACTTAGACTTCATCACCGCCTCTCCCCTTCCCTGATCATTGTTTTCAATCAACATCCAACCAGACACCGAATCCTGTTCATACGTTCTCCGCATTTCTGGTTTCAGACCTTTGCTTTCTGTCTTCCTCCCACCTCAAATCCAGTCTTCGAGGCATTGCCTTATTAATCTTCTTAAAGCGTTGGTTAGACCCCATCATCCCCTCCTTATACTGGCCATCCACTGCCTGGTGGAGGCAGGCTCTCCTTCTTTGGCATAGCCTTTGTAGATGCTCTACAAGGTTGGGGAAATTTCTCCAGGCATAGCTTTCTATAATCCTCTTTACATTTCCGTTTTTATGTTTCCAGTTAGCCAAATCTACCTCTTCCCAACTTCTCAAATGTTCCCAGGGCTCTCGTGTCTAGATGCCTGTCCCTTCTGTTTGGAATGCTCTGCTGCTCAGCCTTCCTTGTGGAATTCCACTCAGTGTTTTAAGGTCACGCTCAAAAGCCACCTCTAAGAAGGCTTCCCTGAACAAACTCTTCGCCTCTCAGTTCCTTAGCCACGTCTCACCGTGTGACACCTGTTTATGGGACATCTATTACGTGACAGGCACTGTGGATCCTCATTCATGCATTCTTCTAACTTCCGGCAAGTCCTTCCTGAGTGCTTACTATGGGCAGGCACCGTCCCCATAGAAGAGATACAATACTCACTCCCTGGACATGCTATCAGTGCCATGAAGAAAATAGAAAGCCGTTGAGTCTGATTCACAGGACGTGATCAAAACACCTGAAGAGTGAACAGGGCCCACCAAACATCAAGGGATGCATTCTCCTGGGATGTGCAGGCCCAGCTGGACCTGCCCAGGAGCAAAAGTTCAGGAAGAGCCTCTGGCCGTTCTGTGGCTCCCCCTGTATCCTGACTCCCTCTTTGATGTGGATCCACATGGTGGCTGCTGGGCTTCTCGTTTCTCTCTCTCCCAGGGCAACGCAGCAGCCCCGAGAAGGATCAGCGTCTGTGGATACAGGAGCACCAAGTGGCTGGACCCTGGAGGCTCTGTCCTCCTGCCAAAGGCACCACTATCAGAGGAGGACGTGCAGCGCTGGCCCACGAGGCCATGCAGCCAGAACAGAGCCTGCTGAGACGCAGGAGGACGGACCTTTCCTTCTCCAGTGAAGTCCCAAGTCTGCGGGTGGGATTGCAAGCTTTAGCGGAGAGTAGCTCAGGGTGCTGGCAGGGCTTTGGAAATCACAGGCAAACTGGCTGCCCCCTCCGTGCCCCACTCCCTCAAGTCCCAGCTGTGGAATGTCCCACGCCACCGTCCTCCCTGATGCTGGTGCTGATGAGGATTACCAGGGAACATGTGCGCAGGCTCCGTGCGAGGTGTGCTGTGTGGTTTTCTCATCTGAGGCTCATGCACCGTCCTGATCCTTATTTTGTTGGTGAGGACACTGAGGCTTAGAGGGGTTAGGACATTTGCACAAGGGCACACCAAGCACACGGGAGTGTCAGAATTCAAACCCAATCAGACCCCAGACTCAAGAGCCCCTGTGTTAAACCATATTGCATGGACAACTCACTGTTAAAATTATACCTGACCCAAGGCTTTGTTCAAATATCACTTCTACTGTGAAGTTTGCCTTGATTGCCATGTCCATCCTTGCCTGTAGCACACCGAACTGCACTGAGCAGTAGTTGTAATTCATGTCAGTCATTCATTCCTTGTGTATTGCATGTCCACTCGCCCTCCTCTAGCGAAGCCCCCTTGTTCAGTGAGGATCAAGGCTAACCATGCATTTAGAACTGGTGTGTTCCCAATTATGAAGAACCCACCATCACTTCCAGGACCCGAGAAAGCCGTGGGTCTTTTCCCGTGGTGTGATAGCCAGAGACCATCCAAGCCACGTAAGAATCCAGGTCAGACATATGGAGATTCAGCAAGCTGCAAAACAAGCAGGTGGAGAAATAGCAGGGAGCTCCGCTAGGCAACGCAGTTGCTGGAGGGAGAGCATTTATAATTCTTGCCCTTCTCCTTGCAACCATCCTGCAGAGCTGAGTTTCTGAGTCTTCCCCAGAAAAAGTGAGGATCTGCTTGTGCTGTGCTCCGAGGGATTCTGCGTTGGGGGAGTTTGCCAAATGTTTACGAAGTCACTTTAAGCAAAGCCCTTCTTTCCTCAGGGTCTGTCATTCCAGCACCTCTGAGACTCCTCCTCCACCGGGATGTCGGAATGTCGAGGGAGCCAGCCCCAGGCCGTGCCCTGCCAAGTTCCCAGGCTCCGTCAGGTCCCAGAGAAGCCCATCCCGCTCCCACCCCACCAAATGACCTCAAGGTACTTCTTTAGCCAATTAGAAGACAGTTAGAAAGGAGGATGGCAGGAGATTTCACTGAAGAGAGCCCCAGGCAGGGTATTTAGAAAATGCAGTCCTCTTTGCCCCATCGCTTCTCGAAAAAGATCTGACAGGGTCTGGAGGCCGTGGTTCTCAGCATCTGTATGGAACAGACGGACCTTTGAGAATCAGAGCAAACTTATCTAATTTCTCCTCAGAAAAATCCCCCCTCTCCCACACACAGCTTAGTGTCTGGTTTTAGGGTATTCAGAGGCTTCCTGAAACCCACCCATGAACCCCAAGTTGTAAGCAAACAGGATGATTTTAGATGGTGTGTGGAGAAAGATCGTTTAGCATTTTAATCCTCGAGTACTTACTTTAATATGTACCCAAATCATAATTAACGCTTTAAATCTGTGGTCTTGGAAATGTTTGGGGGATGAGGCTACACTAAAAAAAATATGAGCAGAATTGAAGACAGTTTTAAAGGGAGTGTTATATAAGTGAGCAGTGGTTCCAGGGGCCCGAGATGGAGAAAAGCCTGGAAGATGCTGAACACAAGTGGACTTTTTTTTTTTTTTTTTTTTTTAAGATTTTACTTATTTATTTGACTGAGAGAGAGAATGAGCCCAAGCAGGGGGAGCAGCAGAGACAGAGGGAGAAGCAGGCTCCCAGGACCCTGGGATCATGACCTGAGCTGAAGGCAGATGCTTAACCGACTGAGCCACCCAGGCGCCCCTGCAAGTGGGCATTTTGGATGCACTGTCCTGGTTGGTGGGCCCTCCAATCTGATTTGACACTCTCACTTGTCCAGGCACCTGAGGCCCAGTGGGTTTAAGCGTCCTACCTAAGGGCTCGGGGTAGTCAGAAGCAGATGCCAGGGATGTCCCGGGGTAGCCGACTCGCAGGCCAGGGCTTTCTCCGATAGCCTCATTTGTTTTCTTGTTTCCTACCCCTGTGGATTTCGCCGCAGAGGGCCAAAGGAGCCCTGTCATTTTACAAGGGCTTTTACAAGTATTTTCCTTAGACTCTTCTCACTGTTTATACTTATAAATGAAAAAATGTTTCAAGATGCTTGTCATTCCTCCCACATTGTTCCAGGTTTGCCTGTGTAGAGTCTCAGGAAATGATCTGATGTCTTCCTCCAGGGGTTTATTCTGTGTAGCTGGAGTCAGAAGAGAGAGTCGGTTTTGTATGTTAGGAGGCTTCTTTCAGTTTGGGTTGGCATTGTGCTTGCTGGTCAGCTTGCCAGGGTGAAAACCAAGGGTGTAGCCTATAAAGAACTTTCTTTAACTCCTCTGCCCAGGTCAGCCCCCACCAGCCCCTGCGGGGAGCATTGTTCTGACTTCTGAATGCATGCCTGTAAGGGCGACACGGACCTAGGGGACTGAGGTCGGGTGGGTGTGGCGGGACAGGTAGGAGGCTGGAGATCGAATCAGAGGAGCCACAGCGGAAGGAACTGGCATTGGCTGGCTTGCACATGGACGACCCTCGGGCCCACTCCAAGGTCACTGCCTGCAGATCTTTAAAGGGTTGTTGTGGGGCCGCGCGGGGCGGGTGGGCCCCACGGCAGGTCCGCTGTGCTGCAGGCTGAGCGGGCGGGCAGAACAGAGTGGGTGGGTGGGCACCTGCGGAGAGCAAGGAGGGATAAGCAGCAGCTCCAGGTAATGGTCCTCATGCAGGACCGCAGGCTAGAGACCTGAATGTTTATATGAAATCTGATTTTCACGTGGTGGCCATACATTTCAAAAACATCTGAGAACATTGTGTGGCCAAACAAAACACAACTATGAGTCAGATCCGGTCTCTAGACTATGTTGTAACTTCTGCCTCTATGTTCATGAGGTTATTTTGGGGTTCCTGGTTGCTGAGCCAATACTTAAGTCCAAGCTTGCACTCCCCTTTTCGGGGGGATGCCACTTCCTACGGCAGGGTCCTGTGCTCAGCATTCAGCGGACAGGTGGACTGAGGACTGCATTTTCACTACTCTCTAGGACAAAGTGGGAAGCCCTAAAAGTTGGGGGATCCCTTCTGGAGGGAAGGGAGGGTCAAGGCTGGGGAACGTGGAGGCGGTGGCATGGACACTGGAAATACTGCTCTAGAGGCAGGATGTCCGAGTTCTCGTGCCACTCTGCCATCCCCTAGCTGTGGGTCCTGGAACAAGTGACTTCTCTGCGTCTGTTTCCTCCTCTACACATTGAGGGATGGGATTGGATGGCGTTCTGCGATCTTATGACGGTCACTCCTCACGACCCTCGGCCCACCCCTCGAGGACTTCCATGTCCCTATATTCTGTGTTCCTTTCTGGGTTTCCACCAACCCTAAGAAATCCCGCTGCAGAGCCCAGCTGGGTCAGGTTGCCTGCTTTCTCTACCCACGAGCCCTCACTCATCCACTCCCTGGGCAGGTGTCTCCAGAGTCCGGGTCAGGTCTGTTCCCCAGTCGTATGAGCCTTTCCATCAGAGCACTCACTGCGGTTGCACCACATGTTTCTTTGTGTGATGATCAGATTCACGTTAGATTACCCTGGCTTAGATCATCCTGATGGCCTCTTCTGATGCTCATATTTGGTGATTCTAGGACAATCTACCAGTGAGGGCCAGAACCAGAGCAGTGGTCCTCAACCTTTATTTCTGACCCATGCACCGGGGAGGTCACAGCACACTCCCAGTGGGCACTGGCCTACCGGATTCAGAACCGCGCACATGAAGGTGAGGAGCACATTCTCTCCGCCCCTTGTCAGTTGGGCAACTTTTTACACAAGCCCCAGTGAGTGTCAGTTTTCTCACCTGGAACATGGACACAATGATGCTGCCCCACGGGTTCTTGTGAGGCGGAAGTTATCTAAATCACGTAGCTCCTATCGGCTGCAGAGGAAGCAGGCCATACGTGGAAGCCCTGAGAATGGCTTCAAGTCTCAGGTCTGAGCCATCCTTACAGTATAGATCCCAGCTGGACTTCTGGATATTTGCTCCCTTCACCAATGAGCATCCCCTCGTCAACCAGAGGACTAAGGGAGACATGAGGACAAATCATGGTTCTCAACTGGGGGACATTTTCCTTCCAGGGGACATTAGGCAATGTCTGGAAACATTTCTGGGTTGTCACAGTGGTGGGCAGGAAGGTAGTATTGGCATCGAGTGGGTAGAGGCCAGAGAGGCTGCTAAATATTCTACAATGCACAGGCCAGCCCCCATTACAAAGAATTATCTGGTACGAAATGTCAATAATGGTCTAAATGGTAACCAGGGAAAGCAGACTATGATGAAAGAAAAAGATTTCACGAGGTTTTGCATATGTATAAAATATACATACATACATACATATGCAGGTGTATCTGTATATAGTTTCTGGATGTATATGGGCTCAACAACGTGCACTGTATTGTGTACATATCATGTGCTATGTCTTAAAGCCCACAGACTTACAGTACTGACAGCCAGCATAAAGACAAAGCCATGGCACAGACTCCTAGCAATGAGCCAAACTGACTCACCCACCGGAGGCCGATTTACTGGAATGAGAAATTAAACCCTTGATCTACGCACGACTCTTGAGGAAAGTAAAGCTTCAGGGAAACTGGGGTGTCCCTGGTGTCCTATAGAGCACGATCCTGAAGCATGCCATACATTCAGGCCCACACCCTTTTCCTGCCTAAACTTTCCAGGACCGAGCAGCTCTTCAGGAGAGTGAGAGGCTGAGAGGTTGCAGGCAGCGGTGACATGACACGGGGCTGGCCTTTGTGCTGTACCACCCACCGGCCAGGCCACCAACATTGACTCACTTTCCCCTCTTTGGTTTTAAGCCTCTCATGGGTGAAATGAGATTGTGGAGGAGATGACCTTGCAAGTGTTCTTTCTGTTTGGACAGCATGGACTCTTAGTAAGGGAAATGTGGAACTCCCTCGTGGAGGGTCTGTTCTCCCAGCCACTCTGCTCGGAAGGAAATCAAACGAGCTGCTGGGAATTCTCTAATTCCCAGCAGCTTGGGAATTAGAGAATAAGATAAACCCAGGCTGGAAATCCTATCTCCTTCTCTTACTTCTATAGATCCCTTGGAAAGTTACTTAAATGACAAGAGCTACTTATCTCAATGTCTGACACAGATTGAAGAAGATATTTTTTGAACAGTCTCTGACACAGAGTAAGTACTTGAACAGAAACTGCTATTATTATTACTAATTATTGTTATTATTAGGTATTGGGTGATGGCAGTAGTGTGATTAAGAAATGGTCTTTATACTGAAAGACTTCACAGTCTATGAAAAGAACCAGAGAAGTGGCATAGAAAATGATGAAATGGTAAGTAGAAGCATGGCCACTGAGATGTAAGGTGGGATTTGCATTTAAGAAAGACAAATTCATTCCAACTGGGGAGATCAGGAAGACTTTGGTTGGTGGGAAAGGCAGGGAGAGGGTTGGGAACATTCTAGAATATGCTAGAAAATTCCATCACCTAATAAATGGTTGTCTGGCTTCTAAATGCCATCATCTTTACTTTCCTGGCAACAGTGAAATGGGCCAAGCAAGTTCTCTCTGTGGGCTACAAGCTGTCTGTGGAACCGATGGATTCCACAAATACTTTATGATCTGCTCGACCCTTCTGTCAGAAAGAACTGGAAAGGAAGAAAGAAAGAAAAAACACCAAATACATGCCGTGTCCGAAAGGAGTACTTGGTGGCAGGACGCAGGTGTACAGATAAAGGAGGGTGGGGGAGACAAACAGAGAAGAGCAGGAAAATTCACAGAGCCTCTTCCAGCCAGGATTTAGAGGGAGTGTTTAAAGAGTGAATGTCTTCCCCCTCACACTTGGGTTGCTCTGTGAGACTCACAAGCAAGCTGTGCGTGGTGCCTGGCCACACCCAGGGCACTCAGGGAACAGAGTGACTTCCATAGGAAGAGAGGGGCGGTGGGGCATGAGGGTGGGAGGCCAGGGCCCTGAAGCAGGTCCCACACGGTGGGACAGAGCTAGAGCTGATGTCACAGCCCAGCCTCCTCTCGCTAATGAAAGGTCCAGCAAAGGGGTGGGGCCAAAAGTCCCAGACCTGGGGTCCTAGCTGACCTGCGAGGGTATCTCCTGCGGCCATAGCTTGTATGGGATTAAATGGGAAGCCCCAGGTAAGGGACTGGGGAACAATGCAAGGTGCTCCATATGGAACAA